ACTGGAACATCATTGGAATTTCTGGGCGAACTCCTTCTGGCCCAGCAAAGAAAGCAGATCTGAACAACGATTACAAGTTGATTATGGAACTGGTCATCGCCTGCCTCGAATGTGGGAGTGGAGGTCATGCCGATGACATCACCCAGGAGAGAGCCTTCATCATCAACGCTCTCATTACCAAAACTAAGGTAAACTGGGCTGCACACTTTTTCAATTCCATCTCAAAGCATTTGGGAAAGCCCAACCAGAAATATCTTTGTCAAGGACTATACCTTGGACATATCTTGGAGTCTATGGGTATTGCTTCTAAAGGAAAGAAGTATAGAGAAAGATACTGGCTATACTACTTATCCTCCAAAGGAGAAAACAGAGCTGGCACTAGTGCCACTGCTGAGGAAAGCTCTTCCGATAATGTCCCACTCATCCATATGACGAAGACTGCCAAAAGGAAGCAAGTGGTGTCTCCCTCCATCAGCATTGAAGCACCACAGAACCTTGCGTTGATCAATTTGGAAGAAGAAGAAGAAGTCTCTGACCATGGAGAACTTCAAAGGAAGAAGAAGAGAAAGATCAACTCTTCATCAACATCTAAAAATGTCAATTCGGATGAGTTGAAGGAGAAGGAAACTGCTGAGGAAACCTCTATTCAAAACCGAAGCCCTCAACAATTTGAAGAAGAAATCCCTCAAGTCTAAAGCCTTCCAACCTCATCTCAGCCTCATACAGATGATGCTGACAACAAATTCTGGCAGCTCTACTATAATTGGAGAGCTTGGAAAGTTGGAAATTCAGAAGAGCAACTGTTGGATTGGGACCAACAGCTGAAGAATGAAAAGATTATCAAGAAATGCCTAGGACTACCAGTCAACCACTGCTGTGAAGACATCTTGGATGACTACTGGGTATGGCAAAGGAACAATGAGGATCTGCATCTGGAACACTTGGCCACTACACCAGTTTCAGACTTTGAAGCAGATGATGAAGATACTGCAGTCTACAA